TTTTTTTTTTAGAGATGAGGTCTCACTATTTTGCTGAAACTCCTGGCCTCAAGCAATCCTCCTGCCTCAGCCTCTCAGAGTGTTGGTATGACAGGTGTGAGCCACTGCACATGGCTGAGATGCCCTTTCTATTTCTAAGCCCTCTGGTTTCTAAGAATGCATAAATTCCCTTTCCAGAGTGTTTGGCTCTATAACTGATGTCCATTAGTACAAGCTTTTAGAGCTAACAGAACGAGTGTCTCCAAGGTTGTTTTTTTTTTCAAGAGCAAAACCATGGAACCTTATAGTAATTCTGCTATTTCATTAATTCATCAGGTAGTTATTTAGTTCCTGTGATGTGATTAACCCTCATGGGATATAGCCTATCAGGCTCTTGTTGCCTAGGCTGGAGTGCAATGGCGTAGTCTCAGCTCACTGCAAACTCCATCCCCTGGGTTCAAGCAATTCTCCTGCCTCAGCCTCCCAAGTAGCTGGAATTACAAGCATGCGCCACCACGCCCGACTAATTTTGTATTTTCAGTAGAGACAGTGTTTCACTATGTTATTCAGGCTGGTCTCGAACTCCTGACTTCAGGTGATCCACCCTCCTCAGCCTCCCAAACTGCTGGGAGTACAGGCATGAGGCACTGCACCTGGCATAATTGCATATTTTGAACTTCAATTTCAATGTCTCAATCCCTCCCATTGGCCAGATTCTGCTACTATGAAGAGTGCTGCCCTTTTCATTGGTTTAATCCAGGGTTTCTCAGACTCAGCACTGTGGACAGTTTGGACAGGTCTTTGTCATGGGGGGGCTGTGCTGTACATTTTAAGATGTTCAGCATCATCCTTGTCCTCCATCTGCTTAATTCTGCACACCCCCTCCAAGTGTGACAACCAGAAATGTATCTAGACATTGACAGATCCCCCCGTGCTGCAAACCACTTGTTTAATGTCTTATCCCCTTTCTGTTCTTTGTTTTTCTTCCCAAAGTCATGTCACACAAGAGAACAGCGAGTACGGATCTTAAGCAACTGAACCAGGTCAATTTCACCCTTCCCAAGAAGGAAGGACTTTCCTTTCTTGGTGGCCTTCGGTCTAAGAATGACGTCCTTTCCCGCTCTAATGTCTGTATCAATGGGAACCATGTTTACCTGGAGCAGCCAGAAGCCAAGGGTGAGACCAAGGACAGCAGCCCGTCTTCCTCCCCATCCCCCCAGGGCTTCAGGAAGAAGCATTTGTTCTCATCTACTGAGAACCTGGTGGCACGGTCTTGGAAGGAGCCTGCTGAAGGAGGTGGACTGTCCTCTGACAGGAGGCTCTCTGAATCTTCCACCAAGGACTCCCTGAAGTCTATGACCCTGCCGTCCTACCGACCTGCCCCTCTGGTCAGTGGGGACCTCAGGGAAAACACGGCCCCTGCAAGCTCGGAGGCCCCAAAAGAAGCCAAAGAGAGCAAGAAGCCAGAGAGCAAGAGGTCTTCTTTGCTGTCTCTGGTGACGGGGAAGAAGGACGTGGCTAAGGGTAGTGAAGGTGAAAACCCTCTCACCGTCCCAGGGAGGGAGAAGGAAGGCACGCTGATGGGGGTTAAGCTGGGGGAGGATGCACCCGGGCCTGCTGAAGAAGCTGTGAGAAGATCCGAGAAAGATACTGCGACTATTGTCTCCAGACCGGGCAGCTCACTGAACCCCTTTGAAGATGTGGAGATCACAGAACTGGAAGCTGAGCCAGAGGCCAAGTCTGAACCGAAACCTCCAATTCCCTCTGCAAGGGCTCCCCAGACCAGAGCTGTCAAGCCCCGGTGAGTTTTGGCTCTTCTCATGCAGGCATTTCTACCTTGCCATTGGCAGTTTTCAGGTTTACGTTAGACCAGATCTTCCTGGTTCCATGACATCATAGTACCTGAATATGCCAGAGGTGTGCTGGTCTAAATTATTATTATTATCTTTATTTTTTTTATTTTTTGAGATGGAATCTCACTCTGATCCCCAGACTGGAGTGCAATAGCACGATCTTGGCTCACTGCAACCTCCATCTCCCGGGTTCAAGTGAATCTCCTGTGTCAGTCTCCCGAGTAGCTCAGACCACAGGCACCTGTCACCATGCCTGGCTAATTTTTATATTTTCAGTAGAGATGAGGTTGGTTTCACCATATTGGCCAGGCTGATCTTGAACTCCTGACCTTGTGTCCACCCACCTCAGCCTCCCAAAGTGCTGGGATTATAGGTGTGAGCCACCGCACCTGGCCTAAATTCTTATTTTTTTAACCAGTCCCTACTGCCAGCCTGGCCTGCCCTGTACAAATTGCAGTGATGTTTCCTAGCCCAGAGCTACTGCCCAGCAGGCATGGTCTATCATCTCAGTGAGATTATCAGATCTCAGTGGAATGCAATGGTTTGTAGCAGATTCTGGGTGTTGTGAGTTGGGAGTGCTGGGTTTGCGTTGTGGTGTATGCAGAACCTGTGTTTATGAAATTGTTATTGCACGTCTGCCCATGAGCCAGATCCTGTCCTGCCTCCTTGCACTTTGACACTGGTTTCTGGCACGAGAGACCCTCCGTCCTCTCTCAAGTGTGCCTGTGACAGTTCTCTGTGTCTGCTCTGCCGATTCTTGTAAGAGCTGGGGGTGAGGCTTGGGAGGTTCCGTTTTTTCTGTGTGATCTCATTCACACTGACAATATTTCTGTGGTTTGGGGGGGTAAGAGATTTTTTTAGCGATTCTGCTTACTTTGACATGCACACATACACACTGTTCCTCTTAAACATCTGTGCCTGTGGCTTTGTGTTATATCTTTAACCACTTTGAACTTTTTAGGTGTACTTTGTCCTGTAATAATCAAATGCCCCAGCCTTGTGTTAATCACCACAAGAAACCAGAGGCAGTTGCTTTCCTGGGATCTTTTCATCTCTATTGCAACAGACCTTTGTGTGGCAGATCTGCTTGGTTATAAAAGTGTCTGTTGTGTATGTTAAATGTTAGTGTTCTTTTTTTGGAGACAGTCCCCCTCTGTCTCCCAGGCTGGAGTGCAGTGGTGCAATCTTGGCTCACTGCAACCTCCGCCTCCCAGGTTCAAGCAATTCTCCTGCCTCAGCCTCCCGAGTAGCTGGGACTACAGACGTGCACCACCACACCCAGCTAATTGTTGTATTTTTCAGTAGAGATGAGATTTCACCATGTTGGTCAGGCTGGTTTGGAACTCCTGATTTCAGGTGATCCACCTGCCTCGGCCTCCCACAGTGTTGGGATTACAGGCATGAGCCACCGTGCCCGGCTGGTGTTCCTTTTTTAACTTCTTAAGTTACTGCCCCAAGTGTAAAGACGTTCTCCCTGGCGAATAACTTGATTTTTGTGTGCTTTGTCTCTCACGATGCATCTGCACTGACTTGCAGATTTTGTCCTTTTTGCAGACTGGAAGTGTCTCCGGAGGCGCAACCCACAGCCAGGCTTCCTTCCCCCACTGACTCCCCTTCCTCCCCTCCTCCTCTCCCTTCTAGTTCTGGCCAGGCACCTGTCCCCTCTGCACTGGGACGTGGTGCAGACACACAGTCCTCTGAGAGTCTTTCTGTCTTCTCCTCTGTCTCATCTCCCATAGCAGCTCCCATTTCCACATCTACTCCAATTGAAAGCTGGCCTCCCACAGACAGGGGCCAGGCCAAGTCTGAAGAACCACCCTTGCTCCCTGAGGCAGAGTGGCAACGGGAGAGTGTAACACCAGTTCTAAATTCCGGTTCTTCTGCCCTGGGACCACTTTCCGAACAGCCACCCATTCCAGCGAATAAAGAGGCAGAAGATGCTCCAATGGGCAGGACCTGTGAAACAGGCACAGAGAAGAACACCGGTAGCCTTGAGTCAGAGGAGTCTCTCCTGGAGCAGCCTGAAGTGGGACAGCAAAAGGGAGAACTTCCGAGGTTTCCCTGCAGAAAACAAGACTACAGCTCAACATCTGGAGAGGCCCGAGAGGTACCATCTGCCCTTTCACTCAGCAGTGATGGAGCGGCGAGCCCTGCTGGGGAGCTTGCAGCAGGAGGAGACCGAGACTTAGAGAGTCAGGCTGGGTCTCTCGCGGAGAGCAAACCTAGGGGTGCAGTTGAAGAAGCGGCGCCCCCTCTTCCGGTGGGAGAATGGGTCCCCTCCATTGATTCCATGATGCGGAAGCTGGAAGAGACGGGTCTGAACCTCGGTGAGGACCAGAAGAAAACCAAGAAGCGTGTGTCGTTCTCTGAGCAGCTCTTCACGGAAGAGGCAGTGGAGAGAGCCGCCCCACTGGTGGAAGAACACAGCAGTTGTCCCCAGGAGGTGACCGCTGCATGGGCTGTCGCTGGAAACCCATCTGACAGGGAACCTCCTGCTTCTCCCCATGCAGAGGACTCAGAGAGGGAATCGGCGACCACGCCTGGGCCAGCGACTTGCGGTACGCCAGCCTCCCTGGCTGATCACCTCCTCCTCCCCTCCCAGGAGGATAGTTTCTCCGAAGGCCCCATGAGAGAAGCAAGCTCAGCAAAAGACACACCACTCTTTAGGACAGAGGGAGGTGATGCCTTTGTGACTCAGTATCAGAGCAAGGCCAGTGACCACGAAGGTTTATTGTCTGATCCCTTGAGTGACCTTCAGTCTGCCTCAGATTTTAAATCTCCAATCATGGCCGATCTGAACTTAAGCCTTCCTTCCATTCCTGAAGTTGCATCAGATGATGAAAGAGTAGATCAGGTTGAAGATGACGCACAGGCTAAAGATGATGGAGAGACAGCAGAGTTGTCAACTCTGGACGTAGGAGCTTTGTCCCCAAACATGGTACTCCCTTGTCCAGAGAAGGGAAAGGAGCCGAGTGGCGAGGCAGATGGGTTGGCGGTGGGGGAGAGCCTGCGTGATTTCAGGCCACAAGCACCCCAAGCATCTGTCACAGCTCCTTCAGAGCAGACCACAAGGTTCGGAATTCACAAACCACATCTTGGCAAGAGTTCAAGCTTGGATAAACAGCTGCCAGGCCCCAATGGTGGCGAGGAAGAAAAACCAATGGGAAATGGGAGTCCAAGCCCGCCTCCTGGCACGTCCCCGGAGAATCCTGTACCCAACCCCTCCCCTTCTGAGACCTTTCCTGCCACACACTCTTTCACCAGCTCTGCACATTCTGACACTTACCACACTAGCACAGCAGAATCTCAAAAAAAAGCCACAGCAGAGGGCTCCGCTGGTAGAGTTGAGAATTTTGGCAAGAGGAAGCCACCCCTCCAGGCCTGGGTCTCACCCTCGGAGACACATCCAATCTCAGCTCAGCTGAGCGCTGGAACAGCGCCAGCCAAGCACAGGTGAGCAATGGGGGAGACTGTCTTTGTGATGTGATGTGAGCAATGTCCGCTTGGCTTTCTACCTGCAGAGGTTACGCTTTCTAACCACACAGACGTTCTGATGTGACAACCTGCTGGTAGGACTGCCCCTTGTGGTGGGATTACCTCAAGACACTGCTGTGTTTATAGCAAGGACATAATAGTCTTCAAATAGAGTTTAGGAGTTGTTCTGCACAGTCGGATTTGAAGCTGTCACATTGCACAAACGCAATGCCGCCAATATCTTAACAGTCTCAGAACTGACCAGCACTGAGCGGTAGTAGCATCTAGCAGTGTCAAAAACTTCACGCACTGCCTGTCGTGCAGCTTACGTGTTTGTTCTGAACTCTCTTTACTGTAGAGGAACAGAAGCCTCTGCAGAGTTGCACAGTGAATGCCTAGGCTCTGGTTGCCTCAAAAAAATAAGAGATTGCCTTTAATGTTCTCCTGATGTTTGTGACAAGACCAAGGGTCCCGTTGAGGACATCAGGACACCTGGGCAAGGACGTGCTTTGCAGGCTTGCATGTGGCAGCCCAGTCCTGACTGCTTTTGTTTCCACAGGAACTGAGACATTGGAGTGCGTTGGCCCAGAGATGAGGACAGCGTGTGACCCACCTGCCACTTGTCTGGCTTACTGGCTGCCATCTTTTCGGTGGGCAGTTGCTCAGTTTTGCCATGACAGAAAGGTCTAAAGATTCTTTTCCCCTTCTCTTTAGACCTCATCCTGTGAAGCCAATGAACACAACAGCTACCAAGATTGCTAACTCCAGCTTGGGAACTGCGACCATCATCAGTGAGAACTTGAACAACGAGGCCATGATGAAGGTATGTCTTCTGGGAAGCTGGTGCATTTGTTAAGGATTGACAGAGCACCCATTTCCATAGTCACCATCGTATACCTCTCCCTGGGCAGCCGGTGGTGGCAGGAGCCACTTAGCTGTACCTCTGGAGTCTTTGGATAAACTTGGGAAACTTCAGACATTCCACTGGATAATTTCTGTATTACCTTATACTTGTTTAGTTATTGTTAAATTTTTGTGTCTCAAGCAACATGATTGATAGTGACCCTTCTTTTTTTTAAAAGTTTATTTAAAACTTCTCCTTCTTAACAGAGATTGGGCTTTGTGATGTTGCCTAGGCTGGTCTTGAAATCCTGGGCTCAAGTGATCCTCCCACCTTGGCGTCCCAAGGTGCTGGGATTACACTCGTGTGTCACCACACCCAGCCTGGCCCTTTTTAATGAGAAGAAGATGTCACCCACAGTCTGGCCCGTTCACCTCAGGGATTTTCTTCCCACATTTCCTTTCTTTTGGCAAGAATGTAAAATTCTGATAATTGCAATCATTACATATGTACTTTTTTGGTAACTTCATTTTGAAATAATTCCAACTGTTAAAAGAAAGTTGCAAGAACAGTACAAAGAGCTCCTTCAAACCCTTCCTCCCAGTTCACGACTAGTTAACATTTGACCAGATTTGCCCAGCAGTCTCGACCTCTCTGCATCCTCTCCCTCCCCTTCTCTCTTGCTGGAGGTACTCACACAGGTGTCGGCATTTTTTTTTAGAATCATTTGGAAGTAAGTTGGGTACCTCATGTTCCTTTTAACCCTAAATACTTAAATGAGTAATTCTTAATAGTAAGGACATTCATCAAAATCAGGGAACTTTTTTTTTTTTTTTTGGGACAGAGTCTTGCTCTGTCACCCAGGCTGGAGCGCAGTGGCATGATCTCGGTTCACTGCAACTCTGCCTCCTGGGTTCAAGCAATTCTGCCTCAGCCTCCCAAGCAGCTGGGACTACAGGTGTGCACCACCATGCACGGCCAATTTTTGTATTTTTAGTAGAGACTGTGTTTCACCGTGTTGGCCACACTGGTCTCGAACTCCTGACCTCAGGTCATCCGCCTGCCTTGGCCTCCCAAAGTGCTGGAATTACAGGCATGAGCCACTGTGCCCGGCCTACCTCATGCTCCTTTTACCCCTAAATATTCCTGACAGTAAGGACATTCATCAAATTCAGGAAATTTCTTTTGATAAGGGGTCTTGCTGTGTTACCCAGACTGAGTGGAGTGTCGTGATCATGGCTCACTGTAGCCTCGACCCTCTGGGTGCAATCAATCCTCTCACCCCAGCCTCCCAAGTAGCTGGGACTACAGGCGAGCACCGCCATACCTGCCTAATTTATGTATTTTTTGTGGAGGTGGGGTTTTACCATGTTGCTCAGGCTGGTCTTGAATTCCTGGGCTCAAGTGATAGGCCTGCTTAGGGCTCCCAAAGTGCTGGGATACAGGCAAGAGGCACCATGCCCAGCCTGTTTTCTGTTTTTCATTATGAATTAACACTACAGTCAACAACTTCCTATATGGAAGTTTTTCTTCTCCTTTAGATTATTTCCTTAAGCTAAATTTCCAGGAAGTAGCTTGCTCATTTGGAGGCTCTCTTCTCTTTGAAAAGCATGGGCTAACATTAAAAAACAACTCCTCACAATACAAAAGCAGCCTCCCAGATGAACTCTACCTGGGAGTGTTTTCATCCTGCCCTTTCTGGTTCTCAAATCTGAAAGATTTAGAATACTGCCTTGCTGCAGATCCCTGGTCTTCAATTCAGTATCATCTGGGCTAGAAGAGAGTGATTTACTGAGGGATTGGTGACCTTTAGGGGCAAGGATGTGTGTTGTATTTCAAATATGTAGAGAAGGACTTCCCAACTGACACTGGGAGCTGCAGTCTGTAGAAATAAACCTTAGTTTTATTTAGTTTGGAGCCGCTAAAGTTTACTTTCATCATAGATTTTACAGTCCCATGGACTCTGGATATTGAATAGTTTATTGATTTATTTTTTTGAGACGGAGTTTTGCTTTTGTTGCTCAGGCTGGAGTGCAATGGCGCCATTTTGGCACACTGCAACTTCCGCCTCCTGGGTTCAAGCAGTTCTTCTGCCTCAGCTTCCAGCGTAGCTGGGATTATAGGTGCCTGCCACCACACCCAGCTAATTTTTGCATTTTTAGTAGAGATGGGGTTTCACCATGTTAGCCAGACTGGTCTCGAACTCCTGTGCTCAAGTGATCACTCGCAGTGAGCCACTGTGCCCAGCCTTGTTTTGTTTTTTAATGGAGATGGGGTCTTGCTCTGTTGCCTAGGCTGGTGGGCAATGGCTATTCACAGGTGCAATCATAGCTCACAGCAGCCTCAAATTCCTGTGCTCAAGTGATCCTCCTACCTCAGCCTCCCAAGTAGCGTGGACTACAGATGCACCACCATGCTTGGCTGAAAGTGTTTTTCAAGTGCTGGATGGTTGATATTCCCTCTGGCTGCATTGCATATCTGCCAGTAAGCGCTGGAATAAAGGTTCACAGGAAGCTAGAAGTCCAAGTTTTTGGTAAAAGAAGCCAAGTAATCATAACTGAAGATTGCTGAAAACAAGTTAACATCTTCTTACCATCTTGCCTCACTTTCTCTTTCTTTCTGTTTTTTTGAGATAGAGTCTTGCTCTGTTGCCCAGGCTGGAGTGCAATGGTGTGATCTTGGCTCACTGCAGCCTCCACCTCCCAGGTTCAAGTGATTCTCCTGCCTCAGCCTCCCAAGTAGCTGGGATTACAGGCATGAACCACCACACCCAGCTAATTTTTTTGTAGTTTTAGTAGAGACGGGGTTCTATTATGTTGGTCAGGCTGGTCTCAAACTTCTGACCTCAGGTGATCCACATGCCTCAGCCTCCCAAAGTGTTGGAATTACAGGAGTTAGCCACTGCGCCCAGTCACCACTCTTTCTTTATAGGACACACTGACAGGGAAGGTGGTAAGCATTGGTCTCAAAATTGTCATCCACAGCCAGAACTGTGTACCTACCACATTTCAGCCCTAGCCAAAAAATCTATGTCAACCAGCTTGCCTGGCTCTGTGTGGTTGTTGCAGATAGAAGAGGCAGCACTTGTCTTCCTGGAGTTAATGATATTTATCAGGAAATGGGATAAAATGACAGCATCAAGAGGACGGCAATGAAAATTAGTCATTCAGCAGCTTCCCATCCCTCTTCCTTTTACTGTGGAATGCAGTGCAGCTCCAAAGAGAAACAGACACCTTGTTTCTGGGAAGTTAGCAAGACCTTTGGCTCCCATCTTATTCCCTCTTCAAAGCTCATTTCATTCAGGGGCTTACCTCCTGGCCCTAAGAGAATAACTTAGCTCAAAACAAAGGCAACTGGCGCTTATTTTGCTCATGATTTGTAAGCCTGGCCGCCGCCCCGCTGCCTGCCTGCAACACATCTCTTGGTTCTGGACCTTGCCTAGTAAACATTCAGAGTAAATAGGGGATGTTTCCTGGAGGCTCAGCTATTGGCTTGCCACATGATAGATGCTTTGTGTTAAGGCATAAGACAGTATTTATAAAGATAACTACTCTGGAATGTTGCAAAGTAAGAGAGATTTAAGGGAAAGAAATTGCATAGCTAAAGTTATGAAACGTTAGCTGGATCGTTACTACAGTGATTTTTTTTTTCTTGGTGGTTGTTTTAGGGCCTCCATCCTTTATAGATGATTTATAACTGGGAGTGTATTATTTACCCAGGTGGCTTTAACATTTCCGTTTTAAAATAGTAAAGCCAACGTGATCCAAAAATCATCTGTGATATGGAAAAAGCTGGATGCACATTTGAGTGTATGTCATTATCACAACTATGTAAAAGGAAAGGTCCAGGGTAAGAATCCTGGTGGGAAATACATGACAATGGGCACTGTACTTTCCTGCATTCCTGGGTATTTTCTCTGCGCTTCTTTTCCAAGACCATTACTCACTTTTTATAAAGCTGGATTGTTTTATAATTTCTTTTTTCCCTTTGAATTACAGAATCCAAATTAAATAGCTGTTTGATAGTTTGTATGAAGTACCTTTTTTTTTTTTGAGACAGAGTCTCGCTCTGTCGCCCAGGCTAGAGTACAGTGGCATGATCTCGGCTCACTGCAACCTCTGCCTCCCAGGTTCAAGAGATTCTCCTGCCTCAGCCTCCCGAGTAGCTGGGACTACAGCCGTGCCACCACACCTGACTAATTTTTTGTATTTTAGTAGAGACAGGGTTTCACTATGTTGGCCAGGATGGTCTTGATCTCCTGACTTCATGATTCCCCCGCCTCAGCCTCCCAAAGTGCTGGGATTACAGCTGTGAGCCACTGTGCCCAGCTCATATGAAGTACCTTAAGTGTGTACACATTTTCAATTCTAGGCATTTAACTTAAGGAAGTACTTAGAGATATGGCCAAAGATTTATGTTCATGCATTTTGATAAAAATGTTATATATAATTTTACAAATTGAAAACAACATAAATATCTAGCAATAGAGGAATAGTTAAAATATAATGGGATTTTAAGTATCCAATAGAAAAGCAATTTTTGCTAAAATGTTATGATGGAAAAAATGCTTACTAATAGTAAAAAGCTGTAAAACTCTATGTCGTATGAGGCCGACATTATAAAACATATCATGAAGAACCCCAGGAAGGCTGGGCATGGTGGCTTATGCCTATAATCCCAGCACTTTAGGAGGCTGAGGCAAGTGGATCACTTGAGGTCAGGATGTGACTTCAAGTTCGAGACCAGCCTGGTCATCATGGTGAAACACCGTCTCTACTAGAAATACAAAAATTAGCTGAGTGTGGTGGTGGGTGACCTGTAATCCCAGCTGCTTGGGAGGCTGAGGCAGGAGAATCACTTGAACCCGGGAAACAGAGGTTGCAGTGAGCCAAGATCGTGGCATTGTACTCCAGCCTGGGTGTCACAGCGAGACTCTGTCTCAAAAAAAGAAGAAGAAGAAAAAAAGAATCCCAGGAAACACCTTCAGGTGTCAGCTTCTGCATCCTTCTTTCTGTCAAACTCCATGCAGAGTATCTTATGTATTGAGACTTTTTTAAAAAAATAAGATTCTTTTATGACAGAGGTGTAATCTAAAATCCCTTGAGGACATATTCTTTGCCATTATTTACTGAGGTGACTTTTTTTCCTTGATATGAAATGTAAGGCCGGGCGTGGTGGCTCATGCCTGGAATCACAGCACTTTGGGAGGCCAAGGTAGGAGGATCACTTGAGCTCAGGGGTTCGAGACCAGCCTGGGCAACATAGCAAGACCCCATCTCTGTGGGGGAAAAAAAAAGATATTAAGTACGTTCACATTGTTGTGCAGCCAATCTCCAGGACTCTTTTCCAGACATGCACCTTTTCGATGATGTATTGTTTGGGAAGTCACATCTACAGTGACTGAGGCCCAGATGAAGTGCGCTGTGAATGCATGCCTTCAAGGTTTTTAAAAAACAAAGATTAGGGGAGAAGCAGATTTTGGAAAAGCGGTCCAGCGTCTCACCTCTAAATGTGCAGCCTGGGTGGGGTGCAGCCCGCTCTATCTATGGAAATGTTGGTGTTGTGTCTAAGTTAGTACCACCATCATCGTGCTTCTGTTCTGGCCGGGATGGGAGGGCTGGGATCCCTCCTCTGACTTCCGGTCATGTCCAGGCAGTTCACATCACTGGACTGAACTGGGGCTCCTATCCTGTCACTGAGGAGCGAGTGTTGATTCTTGGAGAAGGTTGTCTCTTAGTCTTCCTGGTAGACAGTGAAACCGTTAGACTCTTGGGCGCTCAAGCTATTCCTGCCTCAGGGTTCTGCCAGCAAAGTCATCTTGATTATTTAAACATGTAGATCTCAGGCTACAGATTTCAAGAAAAGTTACTTTTTTTTCTTACTGGGGACTTGCACAGCATGTGACTTTTCATTTAAGCTTTACCTGGCGTCTCCTCACGGTGCAGCTGCTTGGGCTTGCAGCTGGATTCCAGGGGCCCCAGATTATAAATGCTGATAAAGCACAGTGACTCCACAGGGTGCGTGCTCTCGTTGGGATTGGAACACTGAGCTCTGGGACCGGCCGCTGTGTACCCAAGGGTGTGCCTAGATGGTCATGGGTGAGGATGGGGCGCGGTGGCGCCTGGCTCTGACTGCGCATGTTTCTCAAGTATGAAATGATGTGAAGTGGGGTCCCTGGTGTCCACCGCATCCACCTGCTCACTGAGTCCTTCTGAGCACAGCTTTAGCAGGAGCGGATGGTCTGGGCTGGACCTCAACCTGCTGCCCTGGAAGGAGAGTCCTTGCCCCCGTACCTTCTGTCACGGCTGTGTCAGCCCTTCCCCACGTGTACCTTCTGTCACGGCTGTGTCTTCCTGGGCCGCCTCTGGCTTGGGGCTCATCTCTAGCCCTGAGACCAGGTGTTTGGTTGTGCGAGCTCCTAGTGTTCTCAGAGAAGTGAGCACTCATTTGGAGGACTGAGTCCTCCCGCTATGACATTGCTGAAAACCCAAACCCTGAGTCAAGCCCAGAGTCCTCGCCTGTGCGCCAAGTATGGTTTTTTAAAAGGTCATACAACAAAATAAAACAAAACAAACAAACCAAAAAACCAACATGTTAACAAAGGCCATCTGTAGCCCACAGAGGCTCAAATATGTGCTATCTGGCCCTTTCCAGAAAACTTCATTAGTCAATAGCCTGTTTTCGCTGTGAATTGAAAACAGATTCCCTGGCTGAGCTCAGTGACTCATGCTTGTAATCCCAGCACTTTGGGAGGCTGAGGCAGGAGGATTACCTGGGGTCAGGAGTTCAAGACCAGCCTGGCCAACATGGTAAAAACTTGTCTCTACTAAAAAATACAAAAATTAGCCAGGCATGGTGTCGTATGCCTGTAGTCCTAGCTACTCAGGAGGCTGAGAAAGCTTGTACATTCCCAAGGCTTTATTTTTAAATGCCATTGTGCCTCTAACTAGGTTGTAAATATTTTATGCCCACCAGAGACGTGGTCGTATATCCGATCCTGAGCCCGAGATTCTGATGGCACAGGAGGTATTCATCGCTTGAACCCAGAAGGTGGAGGTTGCAGTGAGCCAAGATCGCGCCACTGCACTCCAGCCTGGGTGACAGAGTGAGACTCCTCAGAAGGCTGAGGCAGGAGAATCGCTTGAACCCGGGAGGCAGAGGTTGCAGTGAGCCAAGATCACGCCACTGCACTCCAGCCTGGGTGACAGAGTGAGACTCCGTATCCAAAAAAAAAAAAGAAAGAAAACGGATTCCTAAGAGACCCAGATCACTAGTCATGCTTTCCTCCTTTGTACTTCTTTTAGGTTTTAGATTTCTGTGCTGCTTTGATAACTCCTTTTTTCCAACTTGTTCCTTCTCTCAAAAGAAATACAGCCCCTCGGACCCTGCATTTGCCTACACGCAGCTGACCCATGATGAGCTGATCCAGCTGGTCCTCAAACAGAAGGAAACAATAAGCAAGAAGGAGTTCCAGGTCCGCGAGCTGGAGGACTACATTGACAACCTGCTCGTCAGAGTCATGGAAGAAACCCCTAACATCCTCCGCATCCCAACCCAGGTTGGCAAAAAAGCAGGAAAGATGTAAATCAGCAGGAAAAAACCACCAAGACATTTCTGACAGTTCGCTTTCATCTGCTCCCGGGGTCAAGGACTTGCTCTGCCTGATAACCAGCCAGCAGGCTCCAAATTGCCATCTCCCTTGCGTGTTATCGGCAAGAGTGAATTCTACCAATGGAAGCCAGGCTAATGATTACAATGAATCTTTTACTGTACATTCCCAAGGCTTTATTTTTAAATGCCACTGTGCCTTTAACTAGGTTGTAAATATTTTATGCCCACCAGAGACATGGTCATAAGATCTGATCCTGAGCCCGAGATTCAGATGGCACAGGAGGTATTGATGTATTTTAACACTGGGGTTTTCTTTCATACTGAGATTTTTTTTCAGTATGTATCCTACAGTTCTTAAAGCTTACCTGAGAGCTTTAAATGAGAAAAGGACCACACGATTGGTGCTGTGTTACATACACGTACTTTCTTGGCTTTTGAGTAGCTCAGGTGTGGCTTTTGGCTGCAGATGTTAAATTTTGATACCATGTAAACCTACCCAGCTTCTCAGACTTGGATCTGGTTTTTCGATGGGAGCAGAGGCATTTAGAGAAAGCCTCTGAGTATGCCTTTCAGGGTTTGAACAGGCAGCCTTGTCTAAACATCAGCTTCTACTACTTGCTAGCCTTAAAATGTGCTGTTTAGATCCAGGGCCCTTCTACTGGAGATAGGAAAAGTAGAATCCCGGAACTTAAAAGAATCACTTTTTATTCAATTTGATGAACTTGGTTAAAGCCCCTCCTTATGATAGTGGGCTCCTGCTGGCTACACCAGCCTGTTCAGAGCCTTGCTGGGGGATTGGGTGGTCCACACACTCGCTAACACAGTTCTGGCAAGTGTGGAATGATGTCAGTAGGATTACTTGGCCCTTTCCCCTGTGCCTTTGCTTGGTGCCCTGGTTTCCTCAGCAACACTCCTTGTGAGCGGCAGAGGCAGGGTCCATCAGCTCCCCAAGATGAAGAAGCCCCTTCAGGCCAGCCTATAATCCCAGCACTTTGCAAGACAGAGGCGGGTGGATCACTTGAGGTCAGGAGTTCGAAACCAGCCTGGCCAACATGGCAAAACCCCATCTCTACTAAAAATACAAAAATTAGCTGGGTGTGGTGGTATGTGCCTGTAATCCCAGCTACGTGGGAGGCTGAGGCAGGAGAATTGCTTTAACTTGGGAGATGGAGGCTGCAGTGAGCCAAGATTGTGCCGTTGTACTCCAGTCTGGGCAGGAGTGAGACTCCATCTTAAAAAAAAAAAAAAAGAAAGAAAGAGGCTAGGTGCAGCAGCTCATGCCTGTAATCCCAGCACTTTGGGAGGCCGAGGCAGTCAGATCACGAGTTCAAGAGATGGAGACCATCCTGCCAACACGGTGAAACCCCATCTCTACTAAAATTACAAAAATTAGCAGGGTGTGGTGGTGGGCGCCTGTAGTCCCAGCTACTTGGGAGGCTGAGGCAGGAGAATCACTTGAACCAGGAAGGGGGAGGTTGCAGTGAGCCGAGATCTTGCCACTGCACTCCAGCCTGGTGACAGAGTGAGACTCTGTCTGAAGAAAAAAAGGAAGAAGTCCCTTCACTGTGCAGGGGACAGGAGACCATGGATTGGACCCCAAAGGGATTGAACTGCATCTGTATGTCTGTCCTTTGAACAGTTTCTGTCCCTGCCCAAAAGGAAACCCAAATTATTTCTCGGATACTGGGGAAATTGTAGTGAAGGGCTTAATGTAGTTAATAAAAGATAAAAGTCAGTAGAAAACAGGAATGCCTCAGCCTTCAAATAGTTGCTTCTTTTCCATTTCCTTCATGAATAGACACCACCATTTTACCCCCTTGTTATAAAATTGTGCAGAGCAAGAAGATGATACTTATTTTTGGATTTGTATTTTTGAAACTAGATTTATAAACTTTTTTTTTTTTTTAAACTAGGATACTTGCTTCCTCCTTAGCTAAAAGCACCAGTTCAGATTTTTCAGGTAATTTTGTTGTTACTCACTTAAGACTGGAATTAGAATGTTTCTGGTATTGCTCATTTTTTTCTCCTGGCTGTGATAGAATCTCATCAAATCTTGACATCTCTCTTATGGGAAGAATATCACAGGCCGATATCGTGGGTGGAGGTGGAGATGATAGCAGTTATTAAATCAGGAATCTCTTTTATATATGTCCTTGTTACATTGAGGGTAAGAGGCAAGATTATTGGCAGTGGAATCCCATTGCAGGATTTTGTTTGCTGTGGCATTGGTTTCATTAACGCACTTTAATCTGAAGGATGATACTGTAACTTGATTTATCTAATTAGCTTTTAATTATCTACCGCTATTTTATTTAATTCTCTCCTATAGTACTGGGACCACTATAAACTTCTCAGATGACTTGTATTTTTGTAGTGCTACGAAATTTATTTACATACTTATAAAGAAAACTGTATAGTCGCTTGAACTCTGAAAATGTACATGTATGGCTGGACGCAGTAGCGGTAGCTCATGCCCGTTATCCCAGCACTTTGGGGGGCTGAGGCGGGCGAATCACTTGAGGTCAGGAGTTCGAGACCAGCCTGGCTAACATGGCAAAAACTCATCTCTACTAAAAATACAAAAATTAGCTGGGCGTGGTGGTGGATACCTATAATCCCAGCTACTCAGGAGGCTGAGACACAAGAATCGCTTGAGCCAGGGAGGCGGAGGTTGCAGTGAGCTGAGATCACACCACCGCACTGGAGCCTGGGCAACACAGCGAAACTCTGTCTCAAAAAAAAAGAAAGACAGAAAATGTGCATGTATATTTTTGTCCCGCATTATGTTTTTTACTTGATATAAATGTATTTTTACTGTGATAACCCAAGTGCACTGGGGGGCAGGTGTGCTCTGCGTGGTTCTTCCTCCAGTGGAGAGCTGGTGTGGAGACCTGCAGTGTTTGTGAGGATGGTGGTTTGGACATGTCTGCTGCTGGGACCTGGGGCGTGTGACTCGGTCCACATGAGAGGGACATCTGGGTGGAGGAGTGAATTCCTGTGCTCTGAAATGCCACTTGGGAGCTCTGGACAATGAAGGACAATTGACTCAAGGGTGCCTGGCTTCTGCTGCTGCTGGGAAAAAATTCAGTTTATAGCATTCCTGCACCTCCCAAAGTAGATAAGCTGGAAGTCATTCAGTTAACAGCTGTCCCTGAGGAGTCAGTTTGTGGGAGGCGTTATCTAGGAGAAGCTTTAGCCTGCTCTGAGCCATTAGCAGATATTAGTGAATTGGGGCACTGGAGAATCCTACGAATGGGCTATGTCTCAGAAGAGCTAGGACCTCTTTCCAACTGCTGCAGATGCCCATGGGCCCTGGGAGGTGGCTGTGCTCTGGAGAAGCCAGAGCAGCTCATTTCTTGGCCTGGCCTGGCTGCCTCCAGAAAGAGCAGTCAGGACTTGAGGGAAGTATCAAATTCATTACCCATAAACTGCAGTTGGAGACTAGCTTTCTGAAATGGCCAGCCTTTGACCAATTGTTTCAGATCATCTCATTCCTCAGGCTTTGGCAGGTGTCCTGCCCTCCCTCTTACTCTGGTGTGTTCACCTCGTCAAGAAGGCAGAGTGGATTCGGAGCAAGTTTGCCCTTTGCCATAGTGACAGCTGTGGGCCCTGATTGGTGAGGGCTATGCATAATCCTGTATGAAGGAGATACAGGTGTGTACGTGCCTATATGAAAGAGATACAGGTGTATGTGCACGTGCCTATATGAAGGAGATACAGGTGTGTACGTGCCTATATGAAAGAGATACAGGTGTGTGTGCACGTGCCTGTATGAAGGAGATACAGGTGTGTGTGCACGTGCCTGTATGAAGGAGATACAGGTGTGTGCTTCTCAGTTTTGCTAACAGTGGGAGTTCAATGGGGCAGAGACGGAGGACTGGCCATGATGCTCAGCCACATACTGTAGAGAGAGGCAATTTGATGTTAAATGACACGCCATCCTCCCTCTCTGGGTCCCTTCTTCCAGTCTACTTTTTTCTTTTTCTAGAACTACTCATTATCCCTCATGGCTAAAAAATTAATTGCCTTAGGTGGAGAACTTAATTTCTAGTATCCACACCAAACTCAACTCCGTGGTTTCTCCGTATCTACTGTGTGAGCTGCTTAACTGACGCCCCCTTCCTCCAAATGAAGGATTGCTCAGCATTTTTGGATTCTAGAATTTATTATTTCCTGCTTTCTTTCTTTGGGACTTCTGAATTTCTTTGGTTTTGTTTTTAAGAAGTAACCCAAAATTTCCTATAACACTAAATAAAATGGTACTACCTTTCAAAGATTTGTGTCTGCAGTTTGGTATGGGAGCGATAAAAATGTCTTTTGTCTTCCTGGGAAACCTCTTGGTAGGGGTGGGTGATGACCAGTGTTTCTCATCCTGTGAGGGTCTCTCACTGGGATTTTTGCTGCTGCCATCTTGCCTGGTGCCCAGGAGTCCCAAGGCCCTTTTTCTCAGTAAGGACTGGACATGTCCGGTCCCTTTGGACGCACCCTTCATCTTGGCCTAAGGGATCATGGCACTGGCCAGAGAAACCTCGTTGGAAGGAGCTGTCCCCTTTTCCTTTGCAGCTGAGCAGAGGAACAGAGTCTTTCCTTAGTTCCCATCCCCACCAGGCGCACACACAGGTTCCCACAGAGTGATGTCTTCACTTTGGGGGGATGAGTTGAATTCAGGCTGGGCTCAGACCTGCCCCATCTGGGAACCAGGTCCTTGTTCAGTCAACTTAGTTGGTCCATGTCTGAATAGAGGGTATTAGGGCTGCACAGGAGTCTCCTCTGGAGCTCATCTCTCCAAAACCCCAGGCCTTATCTGAGGAGGTGAGAGGTGTGTCTGCCCAGCAAGCAGTGCACATGGTCCATATTCCAAGGTCCAAGACCTTCTGGAATGGAGGCGATGCTTTTGCTCTTAGAGATGAGTCATGTTGTAGAGAGATGGGCGGTGCCTGTGAGACTCCTAGGCTGGGATGGGGGAGCTTCCCTGAAGGCCTCCCTGCTTTTGGAGAGGTCTGGTGATCCCAAGTGGACATTGACCGCCATATGAAGTGACATGAAGACAATTTCTCTTAATAAAACAGCCCTCTAAAATAAATAAAATGGTACTACCCTTCAAAGGAGGGTCTTCAAGGAAGGAAAGTTTAATTACACAAATAACCCTAACTTTTCTGTCTCAGATTTATCCCCCTTGCTTTGGAGTTCTCCCTTTGTGGTTCCTGCTACTGCCACCAAACCCAGCCCTCGGGGCCAGGCTATTGTATTTTTCAAATTCCAGCCCAAGGAGGGAGACACAACCATCTTTTGAGTCCCCTTAGCCTAGTGGCTAATAATGGAAAGCAAAAAAAAAATAAAGGCCAGGGACAGTGGCTCAAGCCTGTAATCCCAGCACTTTGGGAGGCCGAGGTGGGCAGATCACTAAGGTCAGGAGTTTGAGACCAGCCTCATCAACATGGAGAAACCCTGTCTCTACTAAAAATACAAAATTAGCCCGGTGTAGTGGCACATGCCTGTAATCCCAGCTACTCAGGAGGCTGAGGCAGGAGAATCACTTGAACCCCGGAGGCAGAGGTTCCAGTGAGCTGAGATCGTGCCATTGCACTCCAGCCTGGGCAACAAGAGCGAAACTCCACCTCAAAACAAAACAAAAAAACACCAAGCCAGGTGCTGTGGCTCATGCCTGTAATCCCAGCACTTTGAGAGGCTGAGGTGGATGAATCACCTAAGGTCAGGAGTTCAAGACCAGCCTGGCCAACATGGTGAAACCCCGTCTCTACTAAAAATACAAAAAGTAGCTGGGCATGTTGGTGCATGCCTGTAATCCCAGCTACTTGCAAGGCTGAGGCAGGAGGATCACTTGAATCCAGGAGGCAGAGGCTGCAGTGAGCCAAGATCATGCCATTACTCCAGCCTAGGTGGCAGAGCAAGACTCCATCACACACACACATACACACATACAAACACACACAAGGGAAATAATCACAGGATAAGTTACATGAACAACATAAACAGTGAACTTTCCCAAATCCAGAATGCTGAGTTGAAGTCAAGCCCCAAAGCTCCAGGGGCTTGGTAGGCGCCCAGCTACTCAGCCAGGTGGCCCCAGTTGTTCTTAGGTGACCTAAGGTGTTCTAAGTTCATTGTGCTCCATTCTGGAAGAGCAATAGAACCTGCTGCTCCTCCCACTCTGCTATCTGCTCACTCACTCTAGATTTTTCTTTTCTTTCTTTTTTTTTTTGAGACAAAGTCTCATTCTTGTCGCCCAAGCTGGAGTGCAATGGTGCCATCTCAGCTCATTGTAACCTCTGCCTCCTGGGTTCAAGCAATTCTCCTGCCTCAGCTTCCCAAGTAGCTGGGAATACAGGTGCCCACCACACCCAGCTAATTTTTGTATTTTTAGTAGGGACAGGGTTTCACCATGTTGGCCAGGCTGGTCTCGAACTCCTGACCTCAGGTGATCCACCGGCCTTGGCGTCCCAAAGTGCTGGGATTACAGACATGAGCCACCGCACCCAGCCCTGACTCTAGATTTTTCTAAGTAACATCATAACATGTTTGTTCTTGGAAAAGAAAAACATCCTAATTTCCTCACCACCAAGAGGTAACACTGTTGTTTTGACTTGTTCCAGGAATTTTCCTCTCATAAATAGCTACACTTTAAAAGGAAGGTAGAATCACCCCGCATCTCCATGCCTCTCGGTGGCTGGCGGCTATGTGTGTTCTGTGACAAGGACTGATATGATTCCCAGGAGAATCTTTCCTGGCTAACAATCCCCTTATGCAAAAAAAAAAAAAAAAAAAAAGGCTGCAACAGTCACAAAGGTCCCTTCCAGCCCAGGTTACAATCATAGCCACCTATGGATCAAAATGGGGACTTGCTGGGGGACACCCTGCCCACCCCCAGCCAGGAAAACCGTCACTTACAGGGCGTGGTTACCATTCTTTATCTGAGGCCAATGGTCAGCACAGCAGCTTCCATTAGCCCTGGGACCCAGTCTCTTAACAAAGGGAGCCTGTTCCCTGGGCTCCTCTGCGGGCATCAGCTTTTGGGCCCTGAAGTTTTCCCCTAATGGGAAGTCATGAGCTGCCACTTCTGACTTGAAACTGGCTTCCTTGAGCCCTTTGAGGGCAGGGTTTTCCAAAGCCAAAAAGCTTCCTGCGGGAATATGTCCTTACTTGGCCTTTCGACTTTGTATTACTTTATACAGAAGCCTGTATTTTAAGCCCGGGAAAGAGTCACCTTGGGGACACCATATGGCTCTCACAGAGTTGAGAAAAAGCTGCCTCTGTCCTTATGGACAGCTCACTTCAGCCTAGACCTTGACTACAAAAGGAAGCCCCGCGCTGAGATGTACTGTTTTTAATCAGTCTCATCCAGGTGATAATGTCTCCACTGTACGGCTGAGCAAACAGATCCAGAAGCGGCAGCACTCTCCTGCCTAAGTCACACTGTGAGTTGTTAAGACAGGATTCGATCTTATGGCCGGGCACGGTGGCTCACGCCTGTAATCCCAGCACTTTGGGAGGCCGAGGTGGGTAGATCACCTGAGGTCAGCAGTTCAAGACCAGCCTGGCCAACATGGAGAAATCCCATTTCTAATAAAAATACAAAATTAGCTGGGTGTGGTGGTGCATATCTGTAATCCCAGCTACTCAGGAGGCGGAGGCAGGTGAATCACTTGAACCTGGGAGACGGAGGTTGCGGTGAGTCAAGATTGTGCCGCTGCACTCCAGCCTGGGTAACAAGAGCAAAACGCCGTCTCAAAAAAAAAAAAAAGAAAAAGAGTGGACTTGATCTTATAACCTGTCTGACTTGTAGACCTAGAACAAGGGTCAGCAAACTACAGCCTGCCTCCTTTTTTTGTATAGCCTTCAAGTCAACAATAGCTTTTACTTTTTTTTTTTTTCAGTGCTCCAAAAAAAAAAAAAGTCAGCTGGGTGCAGAGGCTCACACCTGTAATCCCAGCACTTTGCACTCTGAGGCATGATACTATGAGCCCAGGAGTTTGAGTCCAGCCTGGGCAACATAGTGAGAACCCCCCATCTCTACAAAAGAGAGAATAAAAAATGAATAGATGTGCATGGTGCACACCTATAATTCCAGCTTCTTGGGAGGCCAAGTAGGAAGGACTGCATGAGCCCAGGAGTTTAAGGCTGCAGGGAGCCTGGGTGACAGAGTAAGACCCTGTCTCCAAAAAATAAAAGAACCAAAACAACAGTATTTTGTGACACATACAAATTATAAAGAAGGCTGAGTGCACTGGCTCACACATGTAATCCCAGCACTTTGGGAGACTGAGGCAGGCAGATCACCTGAGGTCAGGAGTTCAAGACCAGCCTGGCCAACACGGTAAAACCCTGTCTCTACTAAAAATACAAAAATTAGCCAGGCATGGTGGTGGGCACCTGTAATCCCAGCTACTTGGGAGACTGAAGCAGGAGAGTTGCTTGAACCTGGGAAGTGGAGGTTGCAGTGAGCTGAGATCATACCACTGCACTCCAGCCTGGGTGACATGGCGAAACTCCATCTCAAAAAAAAAAAAAAAAAGAAATTGGAGGGCCATAGCAGGGCTGGGGTGGGCCCTGAGGAGGCGTCTTGGCCGGAGCAGGATGCGCCCAGAGGCCATAGGCTGCCTGCCTGCCTCATGCCCGTCGGCTGCCCCTCCCCTCTCTGCGCCCAGTCCCTGGCAGGGCCAGAGAGGTCACCACCATGGTCCAGTGGGGGCCTGGTGGGAGTCCAGTGAAGGGAAGCCGAGAAGTGGGTTCTGGGGAGGAGCTCACGGTGCTCTCGAGGGACAGGGAGATGGAGGCCGAGTTACTCTGCTCATCACTGGAGGCCCGGGTGCTGCCTTTCTAATGTGGCGGTTCAGCTCTCAGCTCTCACCATTGCCAGTTTGATTTTGTTTTCCCTGGGTCCTGAATGCCCAGAGACTCAGCAGAACGTCAGTCAGTGCTGCTCCCTTTAAAGCACTTCTGATTGATCTCTGTAAGTTTAGCTACTGTTCACTAGTTGTTGCAGAAATTGCTCTTACTGAAGTTAAACAGCATTAGGAATGTATGGTACTATTTTTCAAATAAAGATTGTTTAAGTTTTTTTTTGGACGGAGTCTTGCTCTGTCACCCAGGCTGGAGTGCAATGGTGCGATCTCAGCTCACTGCAACTTCCACCCTCTGGGTTCCAGTGATTTTCCTGTCTCAGCCTCCACAGTATCTGGGACTACAGGCACTTGCAACCATGCCCAGCTAATTTTTGTATATATTTTTTTAAGTTGAGATGGGGTTTCACCAT